GAACTGTGAACTATTTTTATGCTGGACTTGTAATTTCTTTTTTATTCTCAATACTTTCGATTTTTTTGTTTAAATATTACAATTAAAAACAAAATTAAGAGTAAAATTTATCTTTTCTGTAATTTTATTCATATAATGAAAAAAACAAATAATTTTCTATACTGTCCTGTATATTGTTTTTTTTATTTTTTGCATGTTTTTTTATGCTTGCGTAAATTATTTATTTGAAAAATAATTATTTAATCAAGAAAAGAATTCTTTTGTCTAATATATTTGTAATTATTTATGATCATTTATACATTACAAATTATAAATTTGTAATTATTCATTTTAGATTTGGACTCAGTAATCGTTTTGAATCAGAATTTCCAAATGGTTTGGTGTCGCGAGTTGCTCCGGAGGAATTTAAGGCAACTGTTATGAGAATAAACAGTGTATTGAAAAAAACTTTACCAGTTAATGTTAAGTGGTTGTTTTGTGGTTGCGTTTGCTGCTGCTGTACATTAGGATGTTCTCTTTGGCCCGTTATTTGTTTGAGTAAAAGGGTAAATACTTAATTCCTATTAAAGAATATATATCTGTTTTTTACAAGGTTGTATGTATGACTACCTATGTATGACTAAGTTTTGTAATAAAATGAGGGGCAGTCAAATATGAACTAGAATCTTTTTGCAGTCTTTTATCGTAGCAAAATTGCTTAAAAAAACAAATTATTTACTTTTCTACATACGTCTAGTACATTTATGCACTTTTTATTCTGGTTTCATGAAATAAAGAAAGTTGTATCCAAAGCCAATTTTTCTACTTCTCCATTGTTATTGAATTGCTGTCATCCTAGTGCCTCTTTTAATGGCCAAAACAAACAATGACAAATCAGGACTGGTTGGATAATTCAAGTGTTGTCCAATGTATCCAATGTAATTTTTTCAAATGGCAATGTAAGACCTAATGTTGTCATGCAGAAGCATACTGAATGAATTGGAATTCCTGATCTTTTGAACCTATAGGCTTCCTTAACCTTGTCCAATAGCATGCAATAGTGATCAGCAGTTCTTTGATCTTAAAAAAAATCTAGTTATAAGTTTTTTGTTCCAAAACATTGTTGAGAGAACTTTACTATTCTAAATTTGCTCGCTTGGATTCTGAGATGTAGTGATATATCCAATACTTGATTTTTTGGTAATGTCTCATTACCAAATTGTAAACATAGTCTATGTAAAATTTCAATGAGTTTTGTATTCTCAATGATTAAGAAATTAATAATAAT